TGGCTTGATTTTCGATTAAGTTCTGGTTTCTATCCAAAACATATAAGGTATCTTACACTCTATCAGTGCAAATTCTCTTCCCAGTTTGAAAATATTGAAATATACAATAATTATGAAAAATTCAATTTTACAGTTGAGATCTCTAATAATGACATTAATAGATAAAAAATTGTTAGAAAAAGTAGACACATGTAAAATTGAAGACAGTATAATAGTAGGGGTACAATTAATAGAACCTGTTCCAGACATGGGGGTGTATGACCCATTTGCTATACGGGTATTTTCTCCTTCAATACAAGTAAAATAGGTTAGGAATTCTTTATAAGAGTCTGTCATGTCTTTAGCTTCAAAATCTATAATTTAAGTATTAGGAGTAAAAGTAATATGAAAATGAATAATACCTGATTTTAATATATTTGATGTGCTAATAGTTGATGAAGAGTTAAGTTGATTAAAATAACGCTTCAGGTTTTGAACCTTTTCTGTTGAAAAAGCTCCAACAGATGGTGAGTAAGGTGTTTCCCTGCCTTCAACAAAATTTACTTGAATTCTCGTGGTTCCACCTCTTCTTTCCCCACGGCCTCTAACTGGTCTTCCATGCAACTTACAACAAGTTTTTCTAGTGTGTTTTGCTTTGCCACAATAGTCACACTTTCGTATATACCTACATTGGTCAGACTGAGTAACTAATCCAACCTTCTCAATCAGTACAACGTTAAATATGATATTTCTTCTGCTTTCTTTTTACTAGACATGAGCATAAGTTTGTTCTAATGAGGAAAGAGGATTCTTACCAAGCATCTAAACTCGTATATAATCATATTTGATGTTCAAACTAGTTAAGAAATTATAAGTCTGTTCTTTTTCTTTTAATTTCTAAAATTTGACTGCATTTGTAGGACAATCTGTTTGGAAGTCTTAATAGTAATCTAACTCCTATTATAATCTACTCAGTTCATAAAAATATTGAGAAATAGTCATTTCTCCTTACTTTGTGTCATGAACTTTATTTTGGAGTTCATAAATTTAGCTATCATTATCCACTTGTGAGTATGTAAGAGATGCTACATTCCATATTTTTTCGATAGTATTAAGCAACAAATATATTCTGACAATATGGGGTTACATGGAATTGATGAGTCATGACAATATCAAGGCGCTCTCAGAGTCCCATTTATTATATCCTAAACTACCAACATCTGACTTTTTCACCTCACCAGTAATGTAACCTTACAATTTTCTTAATTTAATGAACAATAAATAAGATTTCGATCAAATAAGATAATTAGTTCTATCAAGTTTTACAGGACTGATTTATAAAAAAGGGTTATCGAAACTAGTAACACTCACATTTTTTATTTATATCATTTTAGAATACTAAAAACAAGAAGAAAAATATCTGGTAATAAAAAATAAACCTCCTAATCTGCACCAAAGAGCCAAAAAAAGATAAAAAAATTCGAAATCAGATAGCTCGGACGCAAACAGTTCGGCTCAGGTGCAGACAAAACAGGTCTGAGTGGTTCGGTGCGCGGAGTGGCGAAATGAATGTCCCCATGCGTGGAAAAACAGAATGATGCAGCGGAGGAGATCTATCCGGTCAATGCAGTGCGACTCAATGCGTGACTGGAGCAGTATGCATGTGGGAGGAGTAGTCGAGCCGTCTGCAGATGTGGAGTGGCTGAAATAGAGTGGCGGAGGGTGCGGAATGGCAAATCTTCCGAATGTGCACAGCCGCGTGAAAAAATGGTAGGAGATGTGCGATCAAGCTGGATTTCTCGTTTAAAAACAGATTTCGTGCGGAATGCGCGTTTATGGCGGTGTTTCAAGGTTTTTCGAGCCTAATGAGATGAAGTCGACGACGTGTGTGGCTCACGCGCTTCTGCTGCCGGCAGCACGTGTGATTCATGTGCATGAAAATTGGGTGGTGTGCTGACCCGCTGTGAGTGGCGACTTTGTCTGGTGTGATGATAAGTTTTGTTTTTTGGTAATTGAGTACCAATTTAGCCTATTTTGTTATTTTAGAGTTTGAAAAAAAGTTTTAAAAATAAAACTTTAAAATAGTCTTACGTTGATTTTGATATCATAATAATTTTTAGAGAAAATGTACTTCTTTTATTTTCTATTACTTTTGTTATTACACTTAGGATATATATATAGAGAATTATCTTTATTTTAATAAAATTCTAATCACATGATATTATTTTTCTCCTCCAGAGACTCCTTTTCTCCCCCATGAACTTGTGACGCCACGTTTTTTTAAAGTTTTCTATTGAATCCCACCAAAGAACTCAAACCCAAACCTTCTCTCTGGGTAGCTATATTACCTTGTCCCAAGGTTCTAGATGGTATCTTCTCTTCTCCGTGTTGTCACCCGTATGAAATTACACTGGATCCTCTCCAATCTATTTGCCACATTAGGAGAAATTGTATTTAAGGATATCAAATAGATCGCAATGCTGACCATAATACTTTTTTATAAGGGTCAACCTCCCACCTGTGGACAGTAGACCAACTAATCTCGATTCAAATCGGTTTACCATAGGATCCCAAGCTGCTACCTCCTTAAGGTTTGCTCTCAAAGGTATCCCCAAATATTTATGGGAAAATTAGCATTCTTGCACCCCAAGTTTTCTGATTTTCGACAAGCCTCTCTATTATCTCTGGTCATCACAAACTTAGATTTTGTTAGATTAATCCTGAGGCCAGAAACTGCCTAAAACCAAAGCAATACACACCTCATAATCCATAAGACCCTGTGCTCCAGCTCATAGAAAAGAAGAGTGTTGTCTGTGAAAAGTAAATGAGTGACTTAAACTTCCCTTTGCACTCCCCTACCATCAAACCCCTGAACAGACCCACCCTAGCTTTTGAGATAAGTTTGTTGAGAGCCTCTGTCACCATATAAGAACAAAGGTGATAAAGGATCCTATGTCTCAAGCTCCTAGAGGCTTTAAAGAAAGATGATGGGCCTCCATTAACTATGGTGTAAAGGACACAAAAGTAATACAAGCCTTTATCCACCCACTATATCTTCCTCCAAATCCCAATCTATCCAACATGGAAAAAGAGAAAATTCCATACCACATGATCATAAGCTTTTCGCATGTCTAATTTACACAAAATTTTGTTTCCATACCTCTTAAGAGGTTATCAAACACCTCACTGGAAATTAAAGCAATATCCACAATTTGCTTTCCCTCAACAAAAACATGCTAACACTCACCTACACCTATCCCACCACTTCCATTGTCCTCCTCACCAAGATTTCTGCAATGATCGAATATTCCCGACAAGCTAATAGGTTTTAAGTTTTTAATGTTTGAAGCTCCTCCTATATTAGAAACAAACACCATGAATATAGAATTCAAACTTTACATAAAATGAACTCATACTGTTGAATTCCTTAAATATAGAGCAAGCGGACATCTTTGACAATCCTCCAGTTATGTTAAAAGAATCTCATAGTGGAAAACCTAGAGCTTTATCCCCTTTGCAAATGATGAGGCCCTTATAAATTTCTTCCTATGTGAATTCCCTCGTAGGAAAAGTTCTATCGTGGTCCCCCAAACTACCAAAGACCAAGCATGGGCCTCAAATGTGCATCTTCAGTAAATTTGATGATCTAAAGCTCATTTTTTAAGGCAATCTAAAGCTCATTTATTACTAATGCTCGGGAAAGGATGGGGCTGTATATGTGATTGTTGACAAAAGTTGCCTTTTGGTCTGCAAAGTCCAGTTCCATTTTTAAGAATTTTGCTGGTTGGGCTACATTTTCTATTTCCTCTTTCAGTTTTACAGAGAGAGTCTCTGGCTATGCCTTCTAATGTCTAGCTAGTCTCTTTGTTTGGCTAGAGGATACCTAGTCCTTTTGTCTTGTATTTTCTCCCTTCTCAATAATATTCTTTCTTATCTATAAAAAAATCTAGTTTTTCTATCCTCAAAGTTCCTATAAATTTTGTCTAACACAGAACTTGATACTAGCAAAAATAATTGTATTCTCTATTGATTGTAAAGAACCAAGTTTCATAACCAAGGTACTTCTAGCCAGAAAATAAGTATTATAGACAAAAGGCAGCAACGGGTTGCCGCCTATGTACACAAGCAACAAAAATTACAAAAAAGGATTAGCCAAAATTATCTAAAAGGTATCAAGATCCTCTGCACTGTGAAGAGGATGGCCTCTGAACAAAATACAGAATATCTGGGACCAGCAATTTCTTATCCTAGAACAGATACAAAACCTTGAAGACCAAGTGGTTCGAAAAATATATTAAGAGAAGCGCAATCAGCTTCTTTTTGTTTTTGAAATCTAGGATACTGTCCAAGCTAGTAATTCAGAGGAATAGGGCCATTCACCAACCACTAGACCAATGATAGTTTATTTGCCCTCTTTTCACTACTATGAGATGGTTTTTAACCATTTTCTAGATCTCCACAGCAAAATATCCCAACGATGGTTCATCAGCTTCGTGACAAAAAATTGTTGTTTATTAGCTACCTGTCTTCTCTATCCTAATTTTGTGGTGCCTCTTCTGGTATCTTAAATTTTATCATTGGCTTTGATGTCAGTCTAAAACTTTTTTTGTTTACTGGCCATTTACATGGACAGCAATTTCTTCTTGCCTTTTTCTTGTTGCAATTCAGTCAATAAGATGGTTGTATGGACGTCATCCTATTGTTATCAAGTCGTTATTTACAAGCATCACGCTGTCACTGTAGCTGAGCTCAGTGTGCAAAATGTGAAAATAAGAATTTACTTTGGTTACTTTCCAGCATGTATAACAAAAAAATTAACTTGTTCTTTTTGAGAGAAAAAAGGAGATAAAAAATGTTAACTATGTTTCGAGAGCATGCGAATGGTAGGATTGATATTTATTCTTGAACTACAGCAAGTATTATTTAGGCCATTGAGGTTTCTTATTTGTTTGTTAATTTGTTTCAACCTATATAGTGCTCGGCACAACAGTTACGTCTCCAACTTCTGGTGGTGATTTCACAATTGAACTAGAACAACTTGCTGCAGTTACCAGGGATCATAATTTTTCTGCTCTGCAACAATATGGTGGGGTAAGTCAATTTCATATTTGACCGCTATATGCCATGTTGCTCTATGTTGTTAGGTTCCCTAATTTAATATCACAATTTCCATCAGGTTAAAGGGTTGGCAAGTAAGTTAAAGTCAAATCTAGAGAAGGGAATTAATGGGGATGAAATGGACATCTTAAAGCGGAGGAATGCATTTGGATCAAATACTTATCCACATAAGAAAGGAAGAAGTTTTTTCGTATGTAACTACCCTCGATTTTCTCATTCTTTTTGCTAGTCAACATATTTCTCGCTAATACATTGCTCACTTCTGTTTGGTTTTGTACTTTGGCTACAGAGGTTCCTCTGGGAAGCTTGGCAAGATTTAACTCTTATTATCTTGATTATTGCTGCTGTAGCTTCACTTGTTTTGGGAATAAAGACAGAGGTTAGTTTTTTGTTCATTTGAATTCTTTTTTAGACTAAGAAGAAATTCTTTGGAGGACACCTGTCTTTAATATGCAGGTAAGGTCTTATTTGCCTGTGAAATATGTGCTTTGATATGACTTGGCATTGGCGATACCTTGTGACTATTACACTTTCTTTTTTCCTGACTATAAGCTACTAGCTAGCCTTTGATAAGTAATAATGCTCTTTAATGTGCTAATGAACTCTGTTAAATCCAAAATGTGCTAGAGGTAGAAAATGCAAATTTATCATGTGAAAAATAGATTGTTAATGTTATTTGATCATCACATGGATATTCATAAAGTACCCAATGAAATTGTGGAGCCATCAGAAAAAGTTGTACCATGAATGGAATATGCTCTTTCACAAGCTACCATACTGCATATTTTATTTTCCTGTTCAAGAGCTTTCGGTGTATGCTTATCATTCTTTACCACTATTTGTTTCATATGTTATCTCTCTTCTTTTGGCTCGGGGGAATGGTTGGTAGTGGACTGAGGGTATATTTCAGGTCTAGTTTTCTGATAGATTTATTTATTTTGGGCCCTTTCTCCAGTTAACCTTTCCTTTACTTTTTTACTTTTGAGCATGATTTATTTTTGCTTTTAGTTTATTTCTAATTTCTGTAGCTCTTGAGAGGGGAGGTTCACTTTTCTCTCAATATTGACATTTCTAACTCTGCTTTTTGGATATTTTTTCTCAGGGTCTGGAAGAAGGATGGTATGATGGGGGAAGCATTGCCTTCGCCGTCCTTCTTGTTATAGTTGTTACTGGTATGAGTTTAAAGTGGTCATTGTCTTGTCGTTTTAGCATCCATATGAATGCCTTGCAAATAATAAGAGAATTTGGATAGTTTGGTACCCATGATTCGTTTGATTGCGATATTTTTATCAAAGAACTTTTCTCTCCTTAGCCTTCTTGAGAAGGAAGCAAAGATGTTATCTTTGTTGTGGTTTTCTTATGGGTCCTTTATGTAACATGTTACGGATCTGGCCTTGAGATTAGCGTTTCTTAGAGCATTAGCATATGATTTTTGTTGTAGTTTTCTTCAAGCTTCTTGCTTACATTTCTATGATATGTAGAAAAAAAAATTGACAGAGAAAGAAAAGTGGGAGAAAACTATTTCTCTTATTTTCTGGTTATGACAGATTACATATATATATATATAGAGAGAGAGAAACATAAAATCAGGTTAACAATAAATTCAATGAAATCTAGAATTTATTTAAATCCCATAGAATCTAGAATTATTTCAAACTTTCATATTTTAGAAACAAATTCTACCTTTCCAAGCTTATGTCTACTGACACTCCCCCTCAAGTTGGTACAAAAATGTCTATCATGGCCAACTTGCTCACTTGATCTTCAAATGATTGACTCAAAAGTTACTTGGTTAATATGTCTGCAATCTATTGTGTAGTAAGCACAAAAAGAGTATATATTATCCTTCTTCAAGTTTTTCCTTTATAAAGTATCTATCAACTTCGATATGTTTAGTTCGATCATGTAGGACTAGATTATGTGCAATATTAATTGTTGTCATAGTACAACTTCATAGACAGACTTGCAGGTTTTTCAGTTTCTTTGAGAACCCATTTCAATCGCAAGACTTCACATATATCTTGAGCCATTGATTTGAACTCTACGTCAGCACTACTCCTTGCTACAACACTTTGTTTTTTACTCATCCAAATAATCAAATTACCCCACACAAAACTACAATATCCTGATGTTGACTTTCTATCAATAACCGAGCTAACCCAATTAGTATCTGTATATACTTCAATATCTTTTTTTTCATTTTCCTTGAAGAAATGTCCCTTTCTAGGTGTACCTTTCAAATACCTCAAAATACGATACATTGCTTCTAGATCTTCTTCACAAGGAGAATGCATAAACTGAGTCACCACGCTCACAACAAAAAACAATATTTGGGTGAGTATAAGATAAGTAAATTAATTTCCCAACCAACTTTCGGTACCTCCCTTTATCCACAGGAACACCTTCTTCAATATCCCCGAACTTGTTACTTGCTTCTAGTGGTGTTTGTGCTGGTTTGCACCCACTCATTCCAGTCTCCTTTAGAAAGTCCAGAATATATTTTTATTGTGACGTCGTTATTTCTCTATTCAATCGAGCTACCCTCCATTCCAAGAAAATATCTAAGGTGGCCCAAATCTTTAATTTCAAATTCTTTGGCTAGATTCATCTTAAGTCTCATAATCTCGTCCAAGTCATTCCCAGTTAAAATTATGTCATTCATAGAGATTATTAAGATAGCAACTTTGCCTTATATAGATTTTCGTGTGAAGAGGGTGTGATCTGATTGTTCTTGTGTGTAACATTGACCTTTAACAAACTTTATGAATCTCTCAAACTAAGCTCTAGGTGATTGTTTGAGACCATAAAGAGTCTTCTTGAGTTTGCATACCTTGGTTCGAAGGCTCTCTGTGAACCCAGGTGGAGGTGCCATGTAAACTTCTTCCTCCAAGTCTCCATTTATGAATGCATTTTTTATATAAAATTGATTTAGAGACTAGTCAAGATTTGCAATCATAGATAAAAATACTCTTACCGTGTTCAGTTTTGTCACTAGAGAGAATCTCTGAGTAATCTACTCCAAATGTTTGGGTAAAACTTTTTGCCACGAGTTGTCTACTCCAAAGATTCATCCGAGTTGTCCTTAACTGTGAATACCCACTTATAGCCAACAATTTTCTTCCCCTTCAGGAGATCTACCTTGTTCAAAGTAGCATTCTTCTCAAGTATTGCTGCCTTCCATTCAGGAACATCTAGAGTATCCTGAACACTGTTGGGAATTACTATATTGGACATTTGTGCGAAAAAACCAAAATAGAAAGGAGAAACATTTTTACAGGATACAAAGTTTAATAAAGGTACTTGTTCTAGTCTTATTACCTTTCCTAAGAGCAGTAGGGAGATCAAGTTGATTAGGAGAATAGGACTATAAATTACCTAAATAATTGTTATGAGAGACAGCTGAGTTATCATGAATTTCATGATTTGACCCCAGATTAGAAGGTTGAATGTGAATAAATATTGGTGCATCGTTTTCCCATCTATCTATACTATTTCAGAATTCTGATTTTGAGATGGCAGTGTCTCTTGGTTATTATTGGACTCCACAATTTTATTACTTAACTCATTTACCTTCATATCATTTCTTTTAAAATTTTGTTGTTTACTATTTCTATCAGAGTTGTGTTTATGCACATTAGAATCTTGTTCATATAGTTCAGTTTCATACAAAATCAAAAATTGAATCCTTTAGAAAAAAATCCTCATTTCTAAAAATATCATGTTCACTAAAGTTTTTTCCCTAAATATGAGAACTGTTATAATAAGATTGTCCCTAAAAGACATTAACATCCATTGACGCAAAAAACTTTTTCGAAATAGGATCAAAATATTTGTATCATTTTTTATTTATAGAATAGCCTATAAAAATACATTTACGTGCCTTTAGATCTAGTTTGGACAGTTTTGGATCATGATTACAAACAAAAACAACATTTATAAAGATTTTTAGGGGGACATCTCATTGCAACCGAATGGTAGAGAAATATTTTGAGAAAACTTGAAGTGGAGTTTGAAAATTTAAGGTTTTTGTAGGTATCTTATTGCTTAAATATGTGGTTGTTAAAACAACATCACCCCATAAAAAGTTTTGTACCTTAATTTGAAAACTTATAGCTCTTGCTAAATCAAGTAGGGTCCTATTTTTCTGTTCAGCCAACCTATTTTGTTGGGGTATTTTTCTACAGGAACTTTGATGTATTACTCCTTTTTCAACAAAATTTTTTTCGAACATAGTGTTAAAAAATTCTTTTCCATTATCGCTTATGAAAATCTTAGTCTGAGTTTGAAATTGTGTTTAACCATATTATAAAATCTTTTGAACACTTTTTTAACATCAAATTTTTCTTTTAACAAAAATACAAGTAACCCTAGTCTGATCATCAATGAATGTGATAAATCAATGCTGTCCAAGAAGAGTTACTATTTTAGAAGGACCCCAAATATCATTATGAATCATTGGGAGAGGTGCAGACTTTTTATATGGTTGTGCCTGAAAAGCAGTACGATGATGCTTTGTTAATTCACACGATTCACATTGAAAATCAAAAATATTTTTATTCATGAACAATTTTGGTAATAAATATTTTAAATATTGAAAATTTAGGTGTCCTAATTTATAATGTCATAACATAATCTTACTGTCACTAGACATAAAGATAGAATTGAAACATGTCTCCTTGTCTTGTTTTTCAAAAAAGGATTTGTTGTTGAGAACATAGAAACCATCATCCTATCTAAAACCCCCAATCATCCTCCTCGATGTTAAATTCTGAAATTCATAATGAGAGAACCGAAAACTAATTTGATAATTATGATAAACGCTTAATTTACTGATGGACAACAAGTTATATGACAATTTTGGAATATGAAAATATTTTTTAAAATTGACGAAGAGATAGATACTGTCCATTTTCTAGCAACCGAGGCAAATGAACCATCTGCAATTTTTACCTTTAGTTTTCCTGCACATGGTGAGCATGAAGAGAAAAAATACGAAGAACCTATCTTATGGTCGGTGGCTCCCAAATCTAATGTCCAAGAGTTGTTAGAGTTTGAACAAATAACTGTTGCAGAAAAAAAGATTACCTAACTGAAGTATAGAACAAGAAAGACTAGAATGAGATTGGAACATTTTGTAAAAATGTTCTATCTATTCATTTGTGAAAGGTAACGATTTTGGAGAAGACTCTTATTCTAAATAAGAGCTACCAGCTTGGAGAGCACGATTGTCTTCTCATAACTTGGTGTTGTTGTTTGGTTTCTTTTTTAAATTTGTTGATTTTTCATGCAATTTCTAACAAGTTTCTCAAGTATGCCAAGGTCTATTGCAATGATCACACTATGGCTGTTGTTTTCCCCCACGCCTTTCAACATCTGAATCTGTACCACGAGTCACAAGTGTTGATTTGTCACCAATTTTTCTAGACTCATCACTACTTTTCAGCATCATTTTTCGTCGAGCTTCCTCCCGGTGTACCTCTGCAAATACTTCCCTTATTGTTGGTAAGGGTTTTCTTCTAAGTATGTGATCTCCAACCTCATCTAATTCTTATTTAAGCCAGTCAGAAAAACAAACACACGACTTCTTTTAATATTCTTCCTATATCGAGCACCATCACTAGCACTTTTCCAATATTCATCTTCAAACACATCTAATTCTTGCATATTATCATCATATCATTATAATAGGTTGTCACCTTATGATCACCTTGCCGCATTTTTCACATTCGAGTATTCAACTTATAAAGTTGGGAATGATTATCTTGATCCAAATAAGTGTCGCGAACTGCATCCCACACCTCTTTCGCTGTTGACAAAAACATGAAAGACTTTCCGATCTTGATCCAAATAAGTCTCGCGAACTGCATCCCACAACTCTTTCGCTATTGACAAAAACATGAAAGCCCTTCCTATCCCTGGTTCCATGGAATTGATTAACCGTATGGTCACCATTGAATTTTCGGAGCGCCATTATCAGTATTTGGGATCACTTGAATCAGGTTTGATGATCTCACCATTCAAATAATCTAATTTTTCTTTTCGTTAATTGCAAGCTGCACCAAATGAGACCACTCAAGGTGGTTCTTTCCAATCAATTTGTGAATGGTAATTTGAAATAAATTTTCAGTGAGGGAGACAGTTGAAGGTGTAGAGGAGATAACTGACGATGACTGAGAATCAGTCCCTGTCGAAATAGTACCACTTGTCTTTTCTAGAGGTGGTTTTCCGGAGCCAACCATGACTGTTTTGTAATTCATGATCGAACCCTAGAACTCTGATACCATGAAAAAAAAATTGATAGAGAAAGAAAGTAGGAAAAAACTGTTTCTCTTATTTTTTGGTTATGACAGATTACATATATATAGAGAGAAAAAAATATAAAATCAAGTAACAATAAATCCCATGAAATTTGAAATTTATTCAAATTCCATAGAATCTGAAATTTATTTCAAACTTTCATATTTTATGAACAAATCCTAACTTTTCAAACTTATCTCTACCAACAATATGTTATAAGTTATCAAGTGGGACTTTCTTTATCCTAATATGATCTCTAATTGCATTTAATTGGCTTCCAGCATTACCATCTAATTATGACTTGGTGTGGCATTTCTGCTTGTTTATTATTAGCTACTTGGGAATGCAATATACATTTCCTGTTTATCCCTTATTAACCTTATTCTTGTATATTCTTTTACCAGCCACTAGTGATTATCGACAATCTCTTCAGTTTCAAAATCTCAATGAAGAAAAGCGAAACATACAACTAGAGGTGTGTAATTTTTACAGCACCTGAACTGTAATATTTGTTAGTCCTTTCAAATTCAGATTGACCTGTTAATCCTTAGTTGAAAATCTTCACAGGTTATGAGAGCTGGTAGAACATTGAAAATTTCAATTTTTGATGTTGTTGTTGGAGATGTTGTACCACTTAGAATAGGTGACCAGGTGAGTATACTTTGTCGAAGAGTTCGTTTTTAGTTGTACTTAAACTTTATTTACATAATTTTAATTTACTTTTTGGATGTTATCCTTAGGTTCCAGCTGATGGAATCTTAATTACGGGTCATTCTCTTGCCATTGATGAGTCTAGCATGACTGGAGAAAGCAAGACTGTATGTTTGTTTCTGTCTATTGAGGCAACTATCATATAATCTAACTTCTTTTTGTTCCTAAGCATGCTTTGGCTTGTAGGTACACAAAGATCAGAAGGCACCCTTTTTAATGTCTGGTTGCAAGGTAGCTGATGGTCTCGGTACTATGCTGGTAAGTTGCAAATATTTCTTTTTCCTGTCTTTCAATGTCCAAACATATATGAAGTTTAGAAATGAACTAAAATATGTTTTCTTTACCAAATAGAGCCTTGCACTTTCTCTGATTTGGGAAGAGAACAGTTGAGTGAATGAATCTACTTTAAATAATTATTTTTAGGTAACAGGTGTTGGAATCAATACAGAATGGGGATTATTGATGGCAAGTATCTCTGAGGATACTGGCGAAGAGACTCCTTTGCAGGTTTGCGTTAATTAATGCTGCTTATACACTAGTTAGTTACAATAATGTGATACACCTTTATGATTATTTTTTGACAACCTTGTGATAGGTACGCTTAAATGGAGTTGCGACTTTTATTGGCGTAGTTGGGCTTGCTGTTGCCCTTTCTGTGCTTATCATTCTTTTAGCCAGGTGAAATTAGAAATTAGCAATCATTTTGAAATGTATAATTTTGATCTTCTTTCTATAATTTCACATGTCCTACTCTATATAATCTTACTTGGGCTGTCTAGATACTTTACTGGCCATACAACATCTCCAGATGGAAGGGTGCAGTTTGTCCAAGGACAGACTAGCATTGGAGATGCAGTAGATGAAGTTGTCAAAATTGTTACCATTGCAGTACGTGGATATTTGATATATTTGTATATTTTGATATATTTGTATATTTTGATTACTAATATTTGGTTTTGTATTAATTCTTGTCTGGATCCATTCAGGTTACTATTGTAGTTGTTGCTGTACCTGAAGGGCTGCCTCTGGCTGTTACTTTAACGTAAGTTTACATCGTTGGTCTTGATGAATCATATACATATATGTATATATGCAACGATCATTTTTTCTTATTCTAATTGATCTTAGTTACCTTTAAACATAATTTATGACAGTTTGGCATACTCAATGAGAAAGATGATGGCAGATAAAGCTTTGGCAAGTATCATCATCATCACTTCTTTCAAACTACTAATAGCACATTCTCTGAAAGCCTCTACACTTGCAGGTTCGGCGACTTTCAGCATGTGAAACTATGGGTTCTGCAACAACCATTTGCAGTGATAAAACTGGAACATTGACGTTGAATCAGGTACATGATAACCAGGAGATATCATGCATTTGAGACTTGTCTCACACTAATATCTGCACTTTGCATTCATTACATTCTTATGATTGTTGATTTTGAACTTTTTGAATGGCCTTTCCAACAGGTTAATTTAAAGCAGGATGGAAGTTGTTACTTATATACTTCAATATTTGTTTGAAATTAATCAATGTCGTGGTGAATCTTATTTACAGATGACAGTTGTAGAGGCATATGCTGGGAAAAAGAAGATGAACCCACCAGAGGACTCCTCTCAGCTTCACCCAGCTCTGGCTTCTCTTCTGCACCAGGGTGTGGCACAGAACACCACAGGCAATGTTTTTGTTCCTAAGGTGGATATTTATTTATCTTAATTACTGTGTTTTGCAATAAAGCACTTCTTGAATAATTTGGGGCTATTTCCGTTCTACATTACTTATTTTCCTTGTTATGGGAATTACAACCCAACTCCATGCACATAAAACTAGTTTTTGCACATTGCCAGGATGGTGGAGCTGCGGAAATTTCTGGATCTCCTACAGAAAAGGCTATTCTTTCATGGGCGATCAAGGTAGCTCTTTAATTTATTTATCCGGTTGCATATGATTCTTTTCTTCTCTAAACTTGCTCATAGTTCTGAAATCCTTGTTGCAGTTGGGGATGAAATTTGATGTTGTCAGATCAGAATCCCTAGTTATCCATGTTTTCCCTTTCAACTCAGACAAAAAGCGAGGAGGTGTGGCAGTAAAAGGGGTAATGCCTTCATCCTATCTCAGAATTTCTCCAGCCAAATATTTTAAGAGCTTATATAAGAATTATTGCTGTATGCATTGCAAAAGGCCTCTAGATTCCCTGCCTTGTGATGTTTGCAATGACATCGGATGTATTGTTTTCACCATGGCTCTAGAGTCTCTGAATGCAAAGCATCTCTTTTATCAATTGGCTAACAATGTGGCCCCACCGCACCCATGGAGGCATAGGTTCAGGAGTTAATACATCGTGAGTGGATGTCCAGTGTTCCTATAATTATAGAGAAGGCAACAATATGTGAACTTCCTCACCACATTAGCCTAGCAATACCGAGTTGCTACCACCTAACTTGATCAACCACCCGAGAGTTTGGAACTCCACTCATATCTAAACAGTTGTGGTACTTCCTGTTATTGTTGTAGGACAATGAGTTTGTTGTTTTTCCCTTATGTTTAGCAAAAAAGAAGTATCAAATGGACCTTTATTGTTTCTCATCTCTATGCTTTTGGTTTGGAATCCTTTGCAGTTAATTTTGCTTTTCCAATAAATCCAAAATGCACATAAACATCCTCCATGTTTCTTTTAAAGGTCATATGTCATGATCATCTTTCTACTCAAAACATATTTTTCTCTTCCCAAAGAAGGAAAGAGGTGCATAGTCTCTCTTAGTCATCACTTCACTTAGCTAATGCCAATGCTGATAATAAGCTCTCTTTTGTCTTATGCTAATGAGCATCCCTGCTTGATAAATGGCAGGCTGACTCTGAAGTTCATATACATTGGAAGGGAGCAGCTGAGATAGTTCTAGCCTTGTGCACGCATTATCTTGACTCAAATGGTCACCGGCAACCTATTGATGAAGAGAAGGTTAGTGAAAATTCTCTTATACTGAAGTGATAAGAAGGAAATCTAAAATTCGTGTTTGAGACAATAACTTTAAATTAAAGGTTACTCTTGAGCAGTGCATCAGTGTGCTATCATATTACTATTTGTCAATGACATTGTCTGCTATTTTTTAACCAATTGGATGCTGGCATTTCTGGATCAGTATCGGTAGGCATGAATGTAATGCAAAAGCAATTGCTATTTATTGATATGGGAAAACCATGAAATTATAGAAACCACATAGTTCGAGTTTTGTTATTTTTAGTGCTTATTTATGAATATATATCTGCATATATATATATATATACGTATATGTATTTGTGTCTAATTTGAGTAACTGCTTTAATTCTGCATTGGGATGAGCTAAACAATTCTGATATTAGTTTGATGCTTGAGAGCACTGAACATCAGAAGATATGATATATCATTATTCTCTTTCAATTTGAGTATCCATATATAATAAATTTAGATATTTCTAAAGCTCTTAGATAAGCTTTTGGATGAGTTTTTCTTTCTTCTTGAGATCTTTATGTAGGATTTTTTCAAGGCTGCTATTGATAGCATGGCTGCTAGTAGCTTGCGTTGTGTTGCCATTGCTTACAGATCGTTTGAGTTGGACAAAGTTCCTAAAGATGAAGAGAGTTTAGATAAATGGGTTTTACCTGAAGAGGAGCTGGTTCTGCTTGCTATTGTTGGTATAAAGGTATACATCCTGAACTTATTCTACTACTGCAGTATGAATTCCAGATCTGTCTTTAATTTTGTGAAAATGAGTGAACTTTTCCTGTTGGATTTTGGTATTCCTGACCATGTATAGAAAAATTGTATGTGGATTATTGGAAGGTTGTTAACAAACTGCATTATAATATGATCAAAATATTTCTTTGGCTGAACATGTAGTAACATCATGTTAGTTGTGCCAGTGTTTCTCTACTGATTATTTACTGTTAACATGAGCTCTGTCATGTACGACTTGCCTCTTATCGTGAAATAATCAATGCTTCTTTTTGCTCATGGTTTCATTTGTAGGATCCTTGTCGTCCTGGTGTCAACGATGCAGTCAGAGTCTGCAGGGAAGCTGGTGTTAAGGTAATCTGCCACATAGTTGTTAATTGTCTTTGGAAAAGATATTTTCTAAATGCCTTTTTTTTCCTCGAACTGTTCAACAATGCTGCTATTAGAGAGTTTCTTCTTTGAATTTTTTGCTTGTCCTTTTCTATCTCTTTCTTTAGTTCCTATGTGAACTTTATGTATAGTTTTTATAAATAATTAAACTATTGAGAAATGGCTATTGAGGATATAATCTTCGGGATCTGTAGGTACGCATGGTTACTGGAGACAATCTTCAAACAGCGAAGGCAATAGCCTTGGAGTGTGGCATACTTGGTTCAGATGCTGATGCTACAGAACCAACTATCATCGAAGGAAGGATATTCCGTGCACTATCTGAAAGAGAGAGAGAACAAATTGCAAAGAAAATAACGGTATGATCACGAATGTCAGTGTTCAAAACATACATGCACTAGCTATATATTCTCAAGAAGTTTACAGATTTTAGTGATTGCATTCGTAACATGTGGTTGCATGTTTTCTCTGGTTGGGCTAAAACATGATGTAAAAGCTAATTAGAACTATTAATAGGTTATGGGGAGATCTTCACCTAATGATAAGCTTTTGCTTGTACAAGCACTACGGAAGGGAGGCGATGTTGTTGCTGTGACTGGAGATGGCACTAATGATGCTCCTGCACTTCATGAGGTTTGTTGTCTTTACTTTCATTTAGTTCATGATATCAGCATTATTATAGCTTTTTTCATAGTTTTCAATGTTGTGTCATTACTCTCACTTATATGCTCCCTGAGCTGTAATTAAGTCATCATCTAAAGTACTTTAGCCTCCATTATCCTCTAATGAAAGAACTTTATTCTCATCTCTATCTTCCCATTATATGTATTTTCCAAGTGGATTTTGCTTTTACCTTTCTTTATTTTAGGCAGATATAGGTCTCTCCATGGGCATTCAAGGGACAGAAGTTGCAAAAGAAAGTTCAGATATTATTATTTTGGATGATAACTTTGCATCTGTTGTAAAGGTGTGTAGAAATATTACAATTGTTTAAATGCTTATATTATTACATCCATATTCTTTCTGCCTTCTGCCTGATTTGTCTACTGGAGTTTCACTTCCATGTGTTCACAGTTGTATTTTAAAATAGCATCACAAAATGCAGCAAAGGTTTCTGCTTTACTTGCTAAGAAAGTTACTAAATATATTTATGTTGCTAAGTTTTAGGTTACCATAAAAACAATTTTAGCATACTTACCCTCTGATTTTTCTTTTGCTTACTCGGGGATATTTTGCTGCTATGTTGAATTGAATTTATGAACAAATATAGACAGTTCAACTATCTCCCTAAGATGCTATTTTCTTTTTTCTTTGGAGACTATGATGGAAGACGGAAAAATAAGGCCACGTTACTTGGGATGACCAATGATGAGCAAGTTACAAGCTCCTAGAGTGGTTCATATTGGCTTTGTGTGTGTTGCTGGGTGTTGGCTCTATGGGTTTGGAAGGACAGAAGCTGGTGAAAACAGAAAAGCTATAAAAACAGAGAAATGCAGAGCAGAGAAGAGAGTGAGAGAAGAAGATTAAATTTGAGGCTTAAATACTGATTCTTCTGGTTCATTAGATTCTTAAATAATCGAAATACAAGTTGCAGTCCAAGGCAGCTAGTGATCTTCCAAAAATGGAAAAAAAATAGATTGTTTATAACCTTAAACTATTCCAAGAAAACTTTTTCACTAATACAAGTTTTTCACGTAGCTTAAAACAAAAGATAAAGAAGTAAGGCATGACTAAAACATTTGTTTAATGATGGACAACAAAATGTCTATCCTTCAACACTCCTTACTGGTACTTCTACTTACAGTACCAAGCATTCTTCTTAGATCCTAAAATCCTGGCTTAAGCAGTGACTTGGTCAGGATATCGTTTAGTTACTTCTCTGATCTACAATGGTTTGACACAACCTCTTCATTCTTCTCAACATAAGTAACTGTTAATTTTTGGAAAAAAAAAATAATTTTATTTTTTACCTTTTAGGTTATTACACTTGGTGTATTTCTAAAATTCTTAACCTACTAATTAGGAAATAACTATTTTACAAAAATACTAATTATATGAGATCACTATTTTAATAGAATTCTAATTATATAATACTAACTAGTTAAATAATAAACTAAAATAATTAAATAATAAACTAATTAAATAATAAAATATCATATTTAACACTGTTCTCAAGTTGGTGTAGAGATATTACACATGCTCAACTTGCAAATTGAATTGCAAATCCGAGGTATATGCGCGCTGAAGAGCTGAAAAAGGACCAAAAAAGACTGGTCGGAAAGGCTCGCTTGCAAAAGAAGTGGATCTGCATCGGATTGCGAAACTAGAGGCAGACGCGCGCAAAAGAGCCAAACAAAGGATAGAAAAGGCTGATCAAAAGAGCTTGTGTGTGAAGAAAGCCTAGTCGCAAAATTAGAGGTGGCGCACGCAGAGGAGTCAGAAAAAGGACTAGAAAATGTTGGTCGGAACAGTTCACGCGCGGAGGAAGCAGATCTGTCTAACAATGCAGCGGTTAGGCTCAAAACAGTTCGACTCAACTCGAAACGGCTTGAACTCGGCTCAGGTAACAGCCCAGCTCAGGCTCGTCTTCTCTAGACAAATTTTTGAACGTGTGCAGAAAAATAGAATGACGCGGCCTTTTTACTGGCACCTATGGATGCCAGTAAAAAGGCCTATTGATTGATTGAGACCTTATAATTTCCATTCTGAAGAAGTATTTTAGGTTCTCTAGGTCTTTGACTTTGAATTCATGAGGTAGAACTTTCTTAATTTATATAATTTCCTCTTCATGATTTCCTATAAGATAATATCATTTACATAGACAATTATGATAGATATCCTTCCACTAGGAAAATGTTTAACAAATAGGATATGATTTGAATGACAATGAACATATTCAAGTTTCTTTACAGCCTTAGAGAATCTCTCAAACCAGGCTCTAGGTGATTGCATGAGACCATAGAGAGATTTTTCGATCTTACAAACCTGGTTTGAGTTAATCTGACCTTTGAGGTCTTTAGGGATCTCCATGCATTTCTTCTTTTAGGTTCCCATTGAGAAAGACATTCCTGATGTCTAACTGATGAAGCTTCCAATCAAAATTCGCTACCAATGACAAGAGAACTCGAATGGTATTAAGTTTTATAATTGGTGCTAAAATCTCCTAATAGTCAATACCATAGACTTGAATAAAGCCTTTAGCAACCAAACAACCCTTGAATCTGTCTATGGTACCATCTACTTGTGTTTAACAATGAAGATCCACTTGCATCCTACAGGTTTTTTTCTTAGATCTTAATCAACAAGTTCCATGTACCACTTTTCGCAAGTGCTCTGAGCTCTTCAATATCAGCTTGCTTCCACTCATGATCTTGCATGGCTTCTTGAATTCTATAAGGAATCTGAAATTTCGTAAGTTTAGCGGCAAAAGCATGATATTTACATGAAAATTTCTTATATGACATGAAGTTGTGAATAGGATAATTAATACATGACCTCACTCCTTTCCTTTGACCATTTGGTAAATCAAGATGTTGAAATGTCAACTGATTAGAAGTTTTAACTGATCGTGTCTCTTCCCAGATTGATCAAATAGAATTATATTTTCTGACTTTTAGACTGGTTTTAACCAGTTTATATACAGAAAAGAATCTTCAATAAGAAAGGGAGAGTTGATAAATATCTAGACATAAGGAAATAACATCAATGCCTAAAATTAGCTAATTAAACCTCCAATAAAAGCAAGAATCAAATCTCGTAAGTAATACACAATAAAATAGGAAATAAAAGATAACAAATTAAAGCATAGATAATTCTACACTTTATCAAACATTCAAATTTTTTTGATCTAGTTAGGTACTAAAAGAACATTAGAAATCACTTAATATATGTTGTTGTCATTATTGAAATGTCTGCCTTGCCTTCAACTTCCAAGCACCCTTCACTGCCAATTCTGACCTTCAAAACAGAGGATCTATCCAGTTTATCAAACAGACTTCGGTCATGAGTCATGTGATTGGTACATCCCAATGTCAATTAGCCAAGAACCCAATGTTGGTGCTAGTTTAGTAGCAACCTTCGCATCCTGCTGTTCTTTGTCTTCTAAAACTTTAGCCTTCTGTCCATGTTGCATTTTCTTGCCTTTGCATATATTTTCCATATGTTCAAAAGCCTTATAATACATGCACTGGACTCCACTTCTAAATGAGCAATACTTCTCTAAGTGATTGGCTTTTTGGCAATTTGAACAAGGTGGGAACTTTTCTTTTCTTCTTCCTTTCCTTGTTTCCTTTTTGCTTCTCCTTCTTTCTTCAGTCCTGCCTCCTGCCATATTTTCTTGACTCTTGTCTTTGTTTTTTACCGCAAAAGCTCCTTCCATAGCGTCAGTCATTCTCAAGGATCTCCTTGGCTCAGTTGCTTGCCAGACACACTAATTCTGTCAAAGTGATTTTCGGATGTTCTTTGAGTCTTCAAGAGAAGAGATTTTTGCTTCAAACCTCTCCATAATACTTACAAGCACCCTTTCATGTACCTTTTTATCTGTTCGTTCTTCTCTGAGCATCCTCATTTGGTTTACGACCATCACCCAATTTCTAAACTAATTTACAGATTCTGGATCACTCATTCTAAGGACTTCAAACTCTTTTCTGTAGGTTTAGCAGTCGCATTTTTTTTTGTTTTCTCACATCCTTAGGACTCTTTCTTGATTCTGCCCAAATATTACTTCAGATATAGCTTTTTATTTTTTTGCATCTCACCCTTGATGCTTCATTTTTATTATTGGTTGGGTTTACTCTTAAGTGAGGAGGATACTCACCACCTTCTACGGCTTCTTCCCACAGGCCCATCTCCTTCAGAAGAACCTTCATTCTCACAGCCCGAAGCTGATAATTTCTCCAGTAAAAACCGGTGGAGAAACACTCCCTGAATGATCTCAGGTCATATTTAGAAAGTTATGGTGTTCGATGGATTGGTTTTACTGGTTTTGCAGCAGAAAAGGATTTGTTGTTTGGTCCCTCAAAGAGCATATAAACTCTGAAACCAATTGTTGGCTTTCTGCATGTTATCAGGTGTTGGCTGCCTGTGCGTTTGCAAAGACAGAAACTGGTGAAAACAGAAGGAAAGAGAGAAGCTAGGGAAAACAGAGAAACGCAAAGCAGAGAAGAGTATAAAAGAAGACAAAATGTGAGGCTAAAAAACTGATTCTTCTACTTCATTAGATCCTGAAATAATCCTAGTACAACTTGCTTTCCAAGACAGCTAAAGATATTCCAAAAATAGCAAAAACAAAAAAGATTCCTTATAACCTTAAACATTCCAGGAAGAACTTGTTCACTAGTAGAGGTTTTTGACACAGCTTAAACCAAAAAATAAGAAAAATCATGGAAAAACATTGTTTGAGGATTAACAGCAAACTGTCAACCCTTCAACAGTTGACACCATTTCTTTTTACTATCTTGTACCATTTGTAGAATCTCTACATCTATTTTGACCTATAAAACGAAAAGTGCTTACTGTAAGATCATATATTTACTAATTAGGATCTATGGAAATTTTGTTCTCAAAGTTATTTTTATGATTTTTTGATTGTTCTACAGTTTATCTTTTTTGTTTGCTTCTCTTCTCTAATTTTTCTCACTGAATTTCTGAAAGATTTATATTACCTTACAAGGATTATTTTTATCATCTTTTGCAGGTTGTCCGCTGGGGACGTTCTGTGTATGCTAATATCCAGAAATTTATACAATTCCAGCTTACTGTCAATGTTGCAGCTCTTGTAATTAATGTTGTCGCAGCGGTGTCCTCTGGTGATGTTCCTTTAAAAGCAGTGCAGGTTGCTTCTTTCTCTCTCTCATATATTATATGTTCTGAGATGATCATGGTTAAAATAACCTTGACATAGCATATGCTACATAACTATTCATACTTGGATTGGGGAGAGAAGCAGGAGGGTAAATTCAGTGAGAAAAAC